CCAGCACCCCCCCAAAACCGGCAGGTTCCCCCATTCCACCTCACGTATCCTACCGTCACTACTCCGCGCGCGGGAGAAAAGACCACAGAAGTGAAAGTTTGGAGGGACGCTATGGTGCGGTGGGTATCAACGGTCTTATTCATTCACACTAATACTCCGCAGACAATTATTTTTAAATTTTTTTCCCTGTATTTTGACCATTTCCTACGTCTTCCACATGCGATAGCGCTGTTTTCTAGGAAAACTTAAATCATTAACACACTTTGAGCTGCTCTAGCGCCTAAACTAAAAATCGCACAATCTTCCGCCTAGGCTCGTTGGAAAGGCCAGACTTTTCTCTACAAGAACCACTCACTTCGAATTTTTTTGAACCATACCAGAAGCTTTAATAGCCCTCAAAATGTAAAACAATGCACAAAAAACGCGGTTTTTTGAGCAAAAAAAAATGGTGTAGATCTTTGTACGTGCGACCAAATCAACCCCAATAGGTCTCATTTTCTTCCGGAACTTGAGTAGAAGAAGTTCAAATCGATACCCAGCGGCCAAGACGCACCGCAGGGCTTCTAGAGCCCCTGTTGCGTTAAAACTCGGACTTCTGAAAAACTACGCCGAAATTCAACCTTAAAAAAGGTGGGGAGACCCCTACGCATTTTTTGATCGGGCTCCCCTTGTTCCAAGGATAGTTTTAACATGTAAGGGAACCATTTTCCGCATGGGCCGGTATACATTTCAAAAAAGTCGTCTTTTCAATAACCCTTACCGAGGGTGTCCAGGGGTGGGGATGGTGATGGGCAAGTTGACAGTGCCCAAGGCTCGATGAAAGGATTTATCAGCCAACCGTACACCGATAGTTTCCTTTGAGGAAACCTTAAACCCCAATTTAGACCAAATAGCATGCCCAGGGCTCCCCATGACACATCGAGTAGCTCCACAATCTAACTAGCCAAGAACTTTCTGTCCAACAATGTCGACAGGAAGGTAGGCCCTCTCATCACGTCCAAAGTCCAGAGAAATAGAATCCAATTGAATGACACGACCTTTCCTACTAGAAAGACTAAACCGGCTGTGAGATTTTACTCGTTTTTTTGAACACTTGGGGCAAGTTTTAGTGACGACATCAGGAGTGCCACACTTATAGCAATATTTGGCCTTAGGCTTGGGACAATCTTTGCCCAGATGGTCAGCCATTTGACGGCAATTCCAGCACAACTGCAGCTTGGTTTGCTCCACAGCCGCAACCTTAGGCTCTGGTTTTTTCTTGGCTTTATAAGCCAAATCTGGGTCAATCAAAGGCGCCTTTACTTCAGACTTTCGAGCTTCAGATACCTGCCTGGCAAAATCTACTCTCCTGCCCTTCTCAAGTAGTTGAGCCACAGATGTTAAAGAACTGAACTCTATCCTCTCAAGATAATAGGTGTGCAAATTTTTCCAAATCATTTTAAGGCGAGACAACTCTGAAGGTGGGGAGCCAAGTCTTCCAAACATGCGTTGCATGCAGGCCACATATATTTCTAAGGACTCATCCGCTCCCTGCCTACGAGATTTAATCTCATCAATAAGCATATCTTCCCAATCTTGGGGAAGGAAAGTAATTTTAAGTGCAGCCTCTAGAGCTGCACAGGAAGGGAAATTTCCACCTTCAGAATTAGCACGGAACCATATCAGAGCAGAGTAAGAAAATAAATCAGCAGCTCCCTTTAAAAGGGCAGCCTCACTCACTTGACAAGACTGAGCTCGGTCCCTGACTTTTTCAAGAAAAGAGAAAACACTCTCAGATTTAGCACCACTAAATTTGATGTTCCACTTATACATCTGGGCACCTTTAGAAAGTTTAGTAAGGCTACTCAAAGTGGACTCATGATGCTGTTGAGTACGTTCCAGCTTATCAATGGCCATTCGGGTTTTTAGTTCGTCTAGCTGCCTTTGCAAAGCCGCGATGGTATCGTTCTGAGTCTGGTGCTGTCGCTGCCGCTCGTCTTCAAGGGCGCGTTCTCGTATCAACTCCTGTGCTCGCGCGCGATCCGCACGAAGCCGCTCAAGTTCAATTTCGAACTGAGACGGTCCTGCATTACGAGTGGAGGCGGCCCCTGGCAATGTGCCATACACGGTGCCATCAGCCTCACGATCACGGTCCTGATTAGTACCCCCGAGCCGATAGCTTGAAACCAACCCTGTTGGGCTCCATTTGGCCTGTTTGGGTAGCCGTGGCCCTGAGTGGGATCTCAAGTTGCTGAGACTCTCGAGGAGTGGAGGTAGTTCGAGGAGCAGAGGTACCGCCCGCAGCCTCATCTAATCGGTCAGATTCAGACAGATGCTCGTGCGGTTCGAGCTGGAAGCCAGTCAATTCGCGACTGAGGGGGGTTCACCCACGATCAAAACATGATCCTTGTGATGGGTGGTCGGCACTACAGGCAATTTCAGAGTGGGATGTCGGTCCGTGGCCAAGTCTCTTAAATCAGACAGCTTACGAATGAGGTTGAACACCTCAGAAGTAGAAGGATAGAAATTAGCATAGTCAAAAGAATAGTTATAGAGGTAGGCGAGACGCTAAGAGCATGACAGAATAGAGAAGAGAATCTAGCCGGAGGGGGATCAGAAAGGTCAGTGGAAGAGAGAGTGTTGCAGAGTTCAGAGCAAGAGGTGAACTCCTCTTTAAGGTCCGGGATATAACGAATATAGCGCCTACCCGCGTTCTCCTTCTGGACAACTTTACGGAACCTCTACCGCAAGTCATCAACTGTTAAGCCCTCCCAGCGTTTGCCTCGAACTCGAAGCTCATACTGGAGCTCGGTCTTGAGCAACCCATAAACCTCCATGACCAAAGTGCACAGTGCAACCCACAACCGAACCACTAAAGACGAAATTGGGAAAAGGATACTGTGGAGTAGTATGAGAAGAGCTGGATCCTCCCGAGACGCTCCGTCCCCGGCGATCCGCATCCACCACGTTCCAAGGCTGTTCCGTCCTGGAGTCGTTGAAGGCCCTCCTCTCCGACACAGCGACACAGCCAAAAACAAAACAAATATTAGGCATGTACAAAAACAAGAAGTTGACACTGAAAGATAATTTAGTAACATGTTTCCCTGACCACACTGAGACAACTGAGAAAGGAACAAAAGGCCCCACGTTGGGCGCCAAATTGTAACTTGTGTAAGAGTTACTGCAGTAATTAAGTGAATGAAAAAATGCCCGAGTTTATTTTTAAGAACAGCCAGCTTATAAAAAGGGCGGTAGAGAGGGTGTGAGAGTGGTAAGTCAGGGCGCCATGCAGTCAGAGACTGCCCCCGAGCAACAAAACAGACTACTGCATACAGAACTTAGGCTTGGTCTCAGTGTGGGATAACAGAGGGAAAAACATGACAAACAGGATAACATACGTGCCATATATAATTATACTATAGACTTTTTGGAACACTGTACAAACAATTAATGAGAAATGTATATCACAAAAAGGACAATAGACAATAGAGTGTGATGTGATGCCCTGGTGTACTTCAAGAATTAATTTAATTTGGAGAAAAATCTATTTAGTACTAACCAAGCCAACACATACACACGAGGTGGAGTAGGCTCCGTCCAACGCCTACTCCAGTGGCTGCCATCCTGACTACTATATCTGACTGAATAAAACCTAATATTTCATTAAAGCGATTCACTGTTACCAGAATTTACTAAAGAAACAAAACGCGGAAAGTTCCTTCATACGGAATTTAGAATAACGGAAACATAGGTTTTCTCAAGCTGATTTACTGATATCTTTAAAGCAAGCCCCCTATACGACACTATCCAAGGCTTTACCAAGCACAACGGAGACAAATAAACTTTACAAAAACAACAACAACCTAACACAAAAAACTGACACATAATGACTGGACTGATGAACTATATACACATGAAATATTTACATTACTCACTAAAGAGCATAACTAGACTATCAAGCCTACACAGGACCAGCCTGGCAGGACATGAAAAATACAGGACTTAATCGGGAGAATGTACTAATGTACCACAAATAACTATGGGGCGACACAGAGGTCAAACTCAAACCAAGCACAAAAGTGCATCACTTAGCTGAGTCACCCACATAGAATTTAAATATCAAAAGACAGATATAATACAATTTTGCTCAACAGATCACTTAACTGTCAAAACAGAGCATAACAAAATTGTAAACAAATAACGAGACTAACATCGGGTGAGCTTAATTTAAAGTAAGGTAGAATCGAAAGTCACAAGAGAGGACTGAACCATGGGAAGATAATGTATACAGAATTAAGTTGAATGAACAACACTAGAAAGACCAGTTATTAAATTATAACATGAACCCGATGTATAATTTTAGACTATGATGGACTGAATAGCTTGATGCATTAACTTTAGACCTTTTGCATTAGGATAGATAAAATCAGGACGAGACTTGACCCATGGACAGTACAAGTGAGTGTAGATAGTAGATCCACAGACAAAAATTGACTCAAAAGAGAGTACAGTGACACAAGACTTAGCTTTTACATTGTTTACATAGAAATTTAACTTATTTAGATCCGCTTCGTGCACCATCCGTTTGCGAATGTTAGCCACAGGTAGAAGTGGACAAACGTAGAGAGCAACACCCCTTCTCAATAAAAGGCGAACCAACGATACATAATCTTGCCACACCACTGTTAACTGATGCGGAGACAACAAGTCATTGATGCCCACAAGCAGTACAGCACAACTTGGGAGGTCAGTGCAACTCTTAACCAAGTGTTTGATTTGCTGAACACGCGCCCCTCGCACACACAGGTCTTGCTGAGGGGGGTGATAGTTTTCGGGGTACAAATCCAATAGTCTGGCAAAGATACTGTCGCCAATGAAAAGTGCCATGGCTGACACAGTCAACACACGGACGCAGATAAAATTTACGGGGTGGCTCGCGGGTTAAAATTTAAGAGGTTGCACGCGGATACATGGTCACTGACACAACAACACCTTACTTCAAGGGTCCATGTCGGAGAGGAGGGCTTCTCGTTTCCAGGCGCGTTCACCTCATGACACAAGCAGGATTAGTCCACATGAGGGGCCAGATGACGATGGCGAACACGGAGCGCCGGTGTCGGATTGCATCCCGGGAGGATCACGTCGTGCCTAGCCAGCCATGATACTGGACTAGATAGGGTAACGTGCCCAGTGATGGCCAGGGTACCAGTGATGGCCACTTTACACTTTGAGCGCACTTTCCATTCAGACGAGATTAGATGGGGAATGGGATTGAGCTTTGAGGTTTTGTACTGTCACCTATTGGCAACACAACGCCGAAGAAATTTCAGCTTTTTAGTGTTGCTGACGGCCGCACGGGTGCGGCCCGCTGAACACTGCGTTCTCGGCCCGTCGAATGTTGCTTTCCTTACCGGCCCAGATTAGCGCAGGCTTTGACGGCGTCGCTTGTCATTTGCGAGGTCCGTGCAAGAGAAACATCACGGCAGAAGAATCGAAAGAGGGCAAGTTAACCATAGCATGCAAGTTGTTTTGAAATTTCGTTACATTTGAGGGAAAAGGGGTGGTGGCAGTACTGGGCTGGCAAAACAGTGCGCAGCCAGTGATAGCCACACTAGTGTTTTGAAGCAGACTATGCAACGAGCGATGCGACGCCGTTCATGTCCTTCTAGTTTGTTGCCTGATATATCTTGGTTTTGACCTGGCATCTCACTCCGCCTGCCTCATGGGGACCTGAATTCGCGGTACCATGGAAACTGTTTAGACACCGTATGTATAGTAAATTTTGTTTTCGTCAAAATTCTAAATATGTGATAGAAACAATTCGATTTCAGAAACGTGTTCACCTCAACAAGAAGAACAAAGAATGTTCAGCTTGTTTTAGGTTCAGCTCCATTTTCAGAAGTTATCGGCCTTGAAAGAGGGAAAAAAGATGCATATTGTACTTTTTTCCATTTGGATACCGATAAACCTTTGAATTTGAGGTCTGTACCTATAACATGCTTAACATTATATGTTCACCTTCTCGAGGTCAAATCATTTCAAAAACCAAATCTTTTCTATCGCAAAACTTAAAATTTTAACTCTAATTCTATGTTAATGGTATACACACAAGTAGATTCCAGTTCCCAGGGTTACACTGATTTCCGTTTTCTAAGACACAGCGACCCCTGTAGCTTCGAACACGGTGCAAACCAGCCGAAATTGGGTTCAATAACTGTCAAAAGCGAAAACAAAGCGCTCAAACCCTAGTGTGGTCATCACTGGGCCGGGACCCTGGCTATCACTGGGCAAAAGGTGGCCATCACTGGGCAAACTGTACTGAAATTTTGATTAATTCTTTCTTAAGGAATAAATTTTATTTTGCTGGTTTCTAACCTTGGGAATCTTCACTCTATCCTTCTTGTATGTTCCTAGAAATTTTCATACCGGTACGGCGTGCGGAACACTTAGTAAAGGGGTTAAAGGCGCATCAGTGCGCTAAAAGTGGCCATCACTGGGCACCTTACCCTAAGCTGCCCAAACTGTTGCCCGAAGAACAGTGGAATATGCGCATGCAGTTAGTACTCACATTTCAGCAGGCATGGTTGTCTTGCGTTGGCGCTTCTTGGCTGGCTGTTCTGCAACAGCTTCCAAATTGACATTGCTCCAAATTCTGTCTTTTCTCCGGCAATTCCTCACATACTGGCTTAGCATGTCTTTCACTAGATGCTGTAAAGGAAAAAGAAAATTAACAGTAATAAATAATAAATATTAACTAGAGCTCCATCACACACTAAACACTTACATGAGAGTTCTCAGAATTAGATGGGTCGCCCAATTCAGAGTGTGCGTTGACAATGGTGATAGCAAAATCTCTGTAGTCCGTTTTAGAAATCAAATCCTCAGTCACAGTTCTTAAATAATTGCCATAGAACGCAATAAACTTCTCCATACAGGTATTAGCTTTTCCTTGGAAAGCTTTCAAGGAGGGGCTCAGAGTTGGCAAAGAAAGCAATGCGGGGTTCTGAAACGAGAAACAAACATCAATAAGTGTTAAGGTTCGGAGAGGTGCACGAGTATTAATTCCGTTCCCAATGATGAACCAAATTAACTCTCATGCACCACATCACACACACACTAAATAAATAAGTAAAGTACACACCTGATCCTTTCGGCCCTTTCTAGCATACCCTGGCGAAGCTTTAGACATTGGAGGAATGTCACTGCTCAAATTCGCTTGTGGCGAAGTGAGGTTATCTCCACCTGAGGTTTGGACTGACAAAGTTGCGCCAGAAGATAGGGCACTTTCGGCTGCATTACCATTGGACGAATCACTCTCCATAGTGCAGATTCCATCTTCACTGACTGTGATGTTTCCAGTATCGAAAACGATAGGTATGTTGGAGGCTAAGATGGGACAAAACACTGTCACAATGTCACATTCGTCTTCAATGTCTTCGACATCATCAATGTCTACCAGTACACTTTGCTGCGTCGACTTCTTCAATTTAAGCTTCTGGAACACTACACTGCACCCATCCATTCGTCTTTTGAGGTCTTAATCATGTTCTTTGGCCACTTCCAATGCTTCTCGTAGAGCTTCAACATCATTCTTGTCAGCTGCACTGCGGAACTTCACGCACTTGTTGCGTTCCCCGAACTTCAAATAAACTTCTTTCAACGACATGGTCGCCAGCAGAGATCGCAGAGACGAGTGATACGAAACGACGGATGAAGTAGCACAAGAAACTGGAAATTAATAGGCATTTCGAACAAATCAGTGGCCTATTTAACGAAAAGATACCAAGAGAACAACAAAAGGAAGAACATGATTTTTCGTGGGACGCGGGAGCACCAACCCTAGAAACCAAACTCTTTGCTTGCACCATATTTCTTAATCCCCGCTCAAACCCAATCAAATCACCCCACCTTAAATATTCATTTAGATTCAAGAGTATGGAAAAAGATATCAAATTATTGCCAGTCAATTTATTCCAAAATTAACAAGCAATAGGGTCGTGATTTTCGTTTAATTCCGTTGGTACTGCTTTTGTTATTGTTTTGTTCCTTAGCCGCATTTTGGGGTTAGTCATGTTGTTTTTATCCGGCTAGCTTTCCTCCACAAGTGTTTCTCTAATCAAAATCATGGTGCGATATCGCTTCAAATGCAACTTGTGCCACTTTTCAACTATTGGTGAACGTCTGCTGCTGAAGCATCATGTACGAACGCATCGTTTTGATCCACGGTTCACAGTAACCTGTTCAAGTGCGGGATGCCGTGCAACGTACAGAAATTGGACTAGCTTCAAGAAACATATGCAATGAAAGCATCGAGTGGCGGACGAGGAATTTTTACAAATAAACGACGATGCGCCTGATCAATTTGAAATTGAGCACCCCGTGGGACATGCTGCAGGTAAAATTGGTTCTGTTGAGTTTTTTTATTTTTGTCCTTTGACCATAAGTTGCTCTAACGTTATTCTCTTTTTATATTGCAGATAATGTACACCAACTGGTTGGAATGGACCATGTTCAATGGTATGGGGCTAAGTTTCTGCTTCAAATCAGAGATAGATACCGCACATCACATACTGCCATGCTGAAGATAATGGAGGGATCGGATCATCTCTTACAAGAATACTCAGCTTTAATTTTGGTAGGCGGCAGTCGTTGGTGTTCAAAATTAAATACAGAATACATTGTGCTAAATTTTTGAAACATATTTCTTATTTCAGAGCCAGATTCAGAATGCTGCTGATCCAAACACCCACACGATTGATGTCAATAGAGTGCAACAAATAATTGAAGAGGAGTTTCCTTCATCATCAGTGTTCTCAATGATATCTACAAAAACCAGCTTGGACAAGTTTCTTGTATCATCACTAGGCATGATAATGCCAGAGAAAGTTAATCTTGGAAAAGGTTGGCGTTGGAAAAGGAAACCTCGAGTGAAGTTGGTTAGAACTATTCACCGTGCATACACAATTCCATTTCTCGACTGTTTAAAAAGATTACTTCTCAATGATCAGGTACGGGCTTGTGTAGACAATCCAAAACAGTCAGGAGATTCCTACAAAACAGTACTTGATGGCAGATACTATAAAACTAATCCAATTTTCAGTCAAGTTGTTAATGCTTTGGCAATAATATTTTATTATGATGAAATTGAGGTTTCTAATCCTCTGGGATCAAAATCCCACAAACTGGGTATGTTCTATTGGACCTTGGCCAATGTTTATCCAGAATATAGATCTACATTGCAGGCCAACAATTTGTTATTGGTTGCTAAGTACTGTCATATTAAAAAGTATGGAATCAAGAAGGTTTTGGCTAAGTTTGTGGCGGATATCAAAGTCTTGGAAACTGAGGGCGTAACTATTGCTGTGAACAATGTTGTAAAAACCTACAAAGGATCCGTTATTTTTGCTGCCGCAGACACTCCTGCTGCTGCCCTCATTGGTGGTTTCAAGAAGTCTGTTACAAAGACAATTAAAATGTGTCGTAGATGCTTGACAGACCAAGACCGTTGGAGAATGTATTTCAGGGAACAGTATTTTACTTTAAGAGATATGACATCACATGCTAATCATGTAACTGCTGTTGAAGATAGAACTGTTACTTTAGCAACTCGACAATTTTGGTCGAGACATTATGGTGTTAATGAAAGAAGTCCGTTTATGGATTTAGCTGGTTTTGATGTTACTAAATGCATTCCTCAGGATATTATGCATGTGTTATCAGAGGGCGTTATTGAGGTGGAAGTTAGAGAGTTTTTAAAGTTCTTGGTGGCTAATAATTTTATTTCACTACCAATTTTAAATGAGAGAATGAAGTTTTTTGACCTTGGTCACTTGGAACGAGATAGGCCAAGTGAAGTCCTTAGTGACCATTTAGACAACACTTTGCGTCAGTCATCAGCTCAGATGATATGTTTGGCATTTATGCTATATCACAGACGCACTGCCCAGGTCACACTGGTCAATGCCTCTGCGATGCGCACGCACCTCTACAGCGCTCAGCGCGCTAGCTGCCGTGCTATCTGACGCGCGTGCCTATGCAGAAAACATAGGCCGCGTCGCCCCGTGTTAAATGCCATCTAACTAACACGACTGGCAGATAGGTTGCCTAGTAATCAGGCGTTAGCCAGCAGTGCTGGAATAATCTGATTGTCACCGGGCCCGGGCCGATGCGTTCACCTTAGATGTTAGGGATTAAGCACGTGCCTCCCTCACGGAGCCCCGACTCGGGAGAAGCTCCAGTTAGTATTCTACCAACCACTGTAGCGGAAACACCTGAGCCCTCTCCGCCGAATACCCCCTCCGCGAAAGTGTCCGCGTGTGCCCAAGTACTCAACCAACCCGTGTGTCGTTACTTCACCCCTTCACGAACCCGTAGAACACGCCGCGGCTAGACGGTTACGCGAGTGATCAGTGCAGTGAAAACCCAGTGACTGAGGACCAAGTGCATAGCGTCCCCCGACCCGGTTTGACCCCGCGGCGAGCTGGATTAGGCAGCCTCACACAGCAGACCCCACTTCACCTCCCCAAACCCCCCGGGCCCAAAGTGTGATATGGTGCATCTAGCCCGGGGTTTTTCCAAGACGACGAAGGCGTGAGCACCGCATGAAGCGGTTCACCGAGCCTGGTTCTTCATTGGATAAAAGGAACGAAGACGACAAAGGTGTGAGTACCCAGTTAATTTACTCATTGACCACGCAACAATGTCAAGAATCGACGATTTACTGCCAGTCAGCGCACTAGTTTATAGAATTTGCAAGGTGACAAAACGGATTGGAACCAACCCGAAATCATCATTAAAAATGCCACCCACACTACGCTCACACAGC